TTTTTATTATTCTCTCAGTTATTAAAACTATAAAATTAAATATTATTTAATTAATAATTCTAAGTATCAAATCGATTTTTAATTGATTCACGAAGTAACTAGCTGGTCTTGATGTAGGCCCTCCCCCCAAAAAGAAAAAGTAATTTATGTCTATACGGTATCTGTAAAAAATCCAGCACACTTCTCACATTAGTGTAACAATTATTGTAGGTAAAATGTATTAGTATACTAATATAGCGGGGGGAAAAGACAGCAATATATCAGAAGATTGATGAGTTTTGTATAGTATTAAATATAATATTTACCAGATACCTACTGGATATAATAACAGTTTACAATTCAGTGCTATTGCAAGTTGTCATATTATTATACCTAGTTAACTTAACTGTGTATTATAATATTTTGTAATTTTATTACATACGTGATACCTATTAGACAAAATGTTTTTATATCAAAATCAAAAAATTATACGACTACTAGATGATCTAAAATAATATTATGTAGTATTTTATGTTTTTAAGTGGATATTTTCAATATTTCCGATTTTTTAAGTTTACCTATCTAACTGCATATTAATTTATATCCATTTCTAGAGCAATACAATTCGAGCCCTATTTATGTATTGTATTATTTGTATTATTTAATTTCATCGTGTATTTAATTTTTATTAAATTCATATTGCGTTTCCAGTCGGTAATATTCCTAATATACCCACACATCTGTATTATATTATAGCTGCAATTGTGTGCAATAGGGTTAGGTACCTATATAAATTCAAAATAACGAGTGAGTGACCGGGGTAACCAAGATCCTGAAAAATTCCCTATTCTGTTTTTGAATTTATTATAAATTAAAATTATTTTATTTTTTAATAAAAATAAAACAACTCAACTTTAAAAGCTGTAAGATATTTACATGCATATAAGTTTGAAGAGAACTTCTTAATAATTAAAAAGTGAAGTGTGCATCGTCAGCTTAATATACGTACATATGTATGTATTTATGAGAAAAAGAATTCGAATTCGAGTCTAATACAACACTTGAACAGTCCACATTTCTAATTTCTATAAATAAATCGCCTATAAGAAATTTCCTATGTTGAAACTAATCTATAATGTTTTGACGGTCCGCTGCAATTTCCGGTGGGTTCGTATTTATCAATTTATGTACCTACTAGTATATTAATATTTTTAATTCGTACTAGGTATACATCTGTAATACACTAATACGTAGGTAGTCTGTGATGTCCCGCGAACGATTATATTGATATAATTTCATCTTTACCTACAGTATTATTATTATTATTATTATCTCATTAGGCCACAAATTGATTTCGTTAATTTCGTGTTTGTCCGTGTCGCGGTCGGTCGTTTATCATGATTAGATGTCAGATATAATTATTAACAAAAATATCAAAGAATATACATTCGAATAGGTAATCAAAAATAGTGAAAATATTGCTGGACTACCCACTTCTTCGGATAAAATTCTGTACCTACCTACTCATGCAAAATAACATTTATTTAGTTTTTCTTAGATTTATACAAAATACAAATACCTATAAATACTAAATCATAAATTATCATCGTATGTTCAAAATTTTTTAATATACTACTATATGGAAAATATGGCCTGTATTTGAAATGTAGACTGAGAATTGTATTTATGTCATAAAGTTACACTTATATTCAGTAACGGGATGGCCCGGTATAGCAAAATAATAGGTACATTATGATTTATAAGTACTGTTCGACGTGGTCATTTTTATTTTATTATTTTATATTTTTATGTTTCAACAATTTAAATTTAAAAGAAAAGGTTGCCCACAAAATGTATAGGTCCATAAGAATAATAAATTAGAGTACTAAAATTGGCCTAAATATAGTCTTTATAGGTCGCTAATGAAATTGGAAAACTAGGCCGAGCCAGTAATATTTGTAAATATTTCTTTTAATACTTATCAATAATTATGATTGTGTCGATACAATATTCAAAGCCATAGACATAACAGTATGAACTCTAATTTATTATAATATTCTTTCAAAAAATCCGAGAAAGATAATAATTTATTTTGTAAATTATTGAATAAAGTAATATTATATTAATTTATTTTCAGTTTGTTTATTCATAAATATTTAGTAGTTTTATATTTTTTAATTCATTTTTTTTTTCAGTCGACGTAAAGCCTATTAAAGTTAATTTTGTATTGTTGAAATAGTTTGAAAGCATAGTACACAATACTATAAAGATTTAATGTTACCTAACTAATATTATAAATTTAAACACTAAAAATTATGAAAAGTGGTGAAAGTTTGTCCATCGTCATAACTTCGGTCCTCGGATAGGATATTAGTGTATTATTACAGAATTCGATTTGAATGCAATTATTGCATTCGATTAAAAATGATTCTGAGCAGACGAAAGAACATTTATGAATCATAAATAGGTATCTATTAATAAGTAACCATTCATTTATTGTACCTATATGATACACAAAGCGTTAGAAAAAATAGGTTAGAAAATTAAATTTCGGTGGTTATTCCCGTGGCGTTAAAAAACTATACAGAAAATCGAAAAATGAACTCTTTAAAGTACCTTCTTGATCCAAATTTTTAAAAGATAAGGTACTAAATGTTGAAATCGAAGCCCTCCTTCTGGTAGAAATTTTGTTAACAGGATAAAAAAAATAAACATCATTGTAAAACCACTAGCTTCCTCGCTCCGCTCACAATCTAAAATATTCAAAAAATGTTCAAAAGTCTCTTGTTGGCTGGTGTATATTATAATAAAATATAATGGTATTATGATATAATAATGTGGTTACATATTTATTTGAATTACATTTATCGCGCAATGGCGGCAATCACAAACCATTTCTATATCATAACCATTAACTACTTTATTCAAAATATTATATTTAATGTATTTATGCGACCAATGTCCATACATCACAATAGAGGTAGGTAATAAAATCACAAGCCGTTTCTATAATATCATATGATATGACCATTAACCACTTCATTCAAAATACATTATTATGTAGGTATTTATGTATTTATGTATTTATGTCCAATGTCCACAAATCACAAAAGAGGTAGTTAATTGGTAGCTATATAATCAAACAACCTATCGGTACATCATTTAGAGAGTTCACTAATTCTTTTTTATCGACACGGTTTGGGGCGTAACGGTATAGAGCTAATGTTTAAAGTCCATACCTATATTATATTATGTTTCTATAATATTTTCAATGTCATTTTACACATTTATTACTTTTCGTAGTTGTCTGTGTGACTGTGTACCTATATTATCGTCAAAGCATAATTACGGTACCTACTGAGTAATATATAGGTACGTCTAATTGATTAATGCGTCAAATAAGTTACTGTGTGTGACAAATAGTGTACGAGTGTACCTACCTAACGAATACGATAACATTTTATAAAATCGTTGTAATAAATCTATATCCCGAACATAAAAATCTTCAACAAACTGATTTTTTTTATCATAAAAATGTTTTTGACCGATTTTTCTTTTCGTTGTTAGGTAATTGTTATGGTTATATCTACTTATTAATAAAAACAAAATCGTTATCAACTATTTTCTTTGTTCTAGGCGTTTGCCAATTTGTAATAATCATTAAACTTATAATATGTTGTTTTATTTTACGCTGAAATTTAAATTAAACACAAATTTTTTAATGTAAATCTTAGTGGCTTGAAATAATTTTTTAAACCATTACTGATTACTCAGAGTGATTAGTAACTCAATTTTTATTGTATATTTTGTTTCGTGATTTAATTTTAAATAGGTACAAGTGTACAAAAATGCATATTATACTATTATAGTATAACAACAATGTTTAACTTATAATATTATACTATTATAATAGTAGTTTGACTAGAGAGTATAGAGAGGGCTTGTATTTTAATATTTTTAACTTACTTTATTCTAAGTTTTCGTCTGAAAAACCATTAGAGTCCCTCTCTTTTTCTGCAATGATCGTCAACATATTATCTAATCTTCGGAATCGGGTGTAATTTCATTAAATAAATTATTTATAAAATATATTGGCCTCGTAGTGGGCCATGGATATTACACAAATAAAACTTATTTTCTTCTACGTGTTCGTCGAATCACGGAAAAAACTGACACGTGTAAAAAACGTCTCGGAAAAAACTTTTATCTAAAAATCACAATCATGGCTTTTAAGCTTATTGATAAAATAATGGCACAATATTACTATAATTTTACTATAAACAGTTTGGTGAAATATAAATATAAAAATAAAAATAAAAATTATTAATTATTAATTACAAATATCAAATAGTACCTATATAATATGTTATAGCTCCGGGTATAGCTAGCTGTTATATAAAAAAAAAAATTAAAAATCACAAATATCGTATAGTATATGCTACAGCCTTTAAAAAAAATTTGAATATCTCTTTCCCCACTTGAATATTCTTTACATATATTTTTTAATATATTTTGTAACTCTGCATAAATCTTTGATTTTTTTTTTTTTTTTGGTAATGTCCCCAATGCATTTTGAGCTAATTTCGTTTCGTCATTCACTACCTCCAGTCGGATTTTCGTTATCAATACCTATATACTATATAAAGGGAAGGCAATGTTCCACTAACTTTGAAAATCTATGATTCCATTCCTCAGTTTCATTATTCGTCCGATCACCGTCGTTCAATGTGATATTATGGACATTCCATACGTGAGGTGGAAATAAGGGTGGACAATTCCGCAAGCGTATGCAATTATCTTGTGTCGAATTAATTCTCCTAAATGTACCGGTCACATAAGTGTTGTCAAAATATTCTAAATATGGCTGAACCTTTTTCTGTCATTATACTTTTTAAGTATACCATTCCTTCAGCTACATCGCATAATGGTAAAAATGCTAATGCGTCCAATTTATCGTCGGCAAAATACAGAAAATTCTTCGTCCGATTTATAGTCATTAGTTAATCCTATTTTTGTGAATCCTAAGCTTGTGATTGTGCGTCTAAAGTCTTCACATTTTCGGCATATATTTCCGCTGGATTCGTTTTAGTTTGTTTTGCAGCCTCTTTCAGTTTATATATACATTTTATTGCATTCACCTACCCAAAAATCCAATTTAAATTTTATTACCAACTATTATATTTCCGAACGGTATAGCGTCAATTTTTCCGCGAAAATATTTCGCGTGACAGTGTCTCGCGTGACAATTACTTGCAGGAAAATTATTCGAATATGACAATTGTTCTGTTCGAGCATAAATTGATCGTAAAAAAAAAATAATATTTTGTAATCTATATTCTATAACGTATCACATTAGGTATCTTTAACACACACACACAACACAACAGAGTGAAGTGTGGCTTATTGCAAACACATTTTAAAATCATATCGATAACTATTATCGTTATCGAACATTAGGTATATGGATTATCTAATGGGTACAAAAATTCCATTTCTAATTTTCGACTGAATATTTAGGTATAGGGATAATGTACATGCCATGTTAATAGCTATGTAAACCTATTTTGAATTAATAATGTAAGGAAAAAAAATATTTTAATGTTATTTGTAAACCTATTTTGAATGAATATATTGAACATGCAAACAACGTAGGTATGCACAAACAATTTTCGTATTCGAATAATTAAAAAAGTTTACCTCGTGTTTATCAGCTATATGACTATGGACTTTTCCAATTTGAGGATGTCCAATCTGTAAGTCCGTGTACATTGTTCCGCGACATTTCAATGAACGTTCTTTTGTACATCTCCACGTTAATCGTTTACGTCCTTGATGTTTCATTATATATGTATATCCTCTCCAACAAATTTTGTTCCCACCTTTGTTGGACTTAATAACTTCCATGTTTTACAACAAATTACGGTTATATATCACGTATTCACGTCGAAATGCAACTGACACAAAATGTATGGATGTTTCAGTTTATATCGATAATCCTACCACCGTTATCCAAAGTAATCAATTTTAAACCTATATTATACCCAATACTCAATAGGATTTTACGTATATTTTTGTGTATATATATTTTCTATTTACGACGGTTATTTGGTATGGGTTCGATAAGACGCTCGGCCTGTAATTGTTGTTACCTTTTTTTTTTTTTTTCGTGGTATCGAGAACCAGAGGGGGGACCGCGTTAGCATTACTTCCCCTCATAATTGTTGTTACCTAGTATAATAATAATACTATAATAATATAAATACTATATTATACTGTATTACTTATTATAACTTATAACTTTGTCGTTTTTTTCCGTGACGTTTTTTACCCGTGTATGAAACCGGTAAATGAATCCATTCAATTTTGGTTATTGAAACAATGTGGCATCTGTTTGCCAATTTTCTTTTACTGTATTACTTATTATAACTTATAACTTTGTCGTTTTTTTCCGTGACGTTTTTTACCCGTGTATGAAACCCGTAAATGAATCCATTTAATTTTGGTTATTGAAACAATGTGGCATCTGTTTGCCAATTTTCCTTGACTAAAAATAATAGGTACCTTATAAAATTGTATTCATTACATAAATTAGACACAGGTACAGACTATAGAGTTGACCAAGATCAATTAAACTTACACACTTTACACTTTAATTTTTCTACAACTCATTTTTTTAGTCTGATTTGGTCCTTTGGTCTACCTATAGAGGCCGTCTCTTATTTATTTTTATGTTAAACCTATCTTTAAGACATCGTTATTGGCTATTCATTCAAAATACATGCCACACCATGGCCCAACCATTACAATATTTTATATCTTACATTTGTGAGAATATTGAGTTTTATACTTTTATATTATACAGGTTGTATACTAACTGCAATTTCTTATTTATTAGTTGTAGGAGTTCACCCGCACTGTTCGTACTTATTTCGGTATCGCACTTAAAGCAACGGGTGAGGGAAACGAGTATGCCAAGATATGGCCGTTACTATAGGATTTAAAATTCATGGAGGCAAGAGCTCGTACTTTTGAGACTACCTACTGGATTTATTTTATAATAAGACTTGGTTCTCTTTAAGACATCCCTATTCGTTCACTATACGTGGCCCAACCATTCTAATCTTTTACATTTTACATTTGTGAGAATATTGAGATTTCTATACAGGTTGTATTTACTTCAATTTCTTATTTATTTCTTTTATAGGTTCATCCTCACTGTTCGTACTTATCTCGGTATCGCACCAAAAGCTAAGACTTACCTATAATTACCTAAAAGTTATAAGTATGGTAAGCCCCTGTAATAACTAATTATTTTTTTTCGAATTTGTGTTCACTTGAGATGTACACAAGCAAGGATTAAGGGGGGCAAGGGTGGCACTGTCCCGAGGCCCCTAGTTAATAACCTAGCCAAACAAAATTGATCATTTGACTGTCAAAATGTTCAGATAAAAAGCTTTACCAGAATCCATAAAAAAATATAGTGGTTAGGAGGTACAATTTGAAAAAATAAAGTCGATTTTATTATTGTTACAACTGCGTGTTTAAAAATTTTGAAAATGTTATAAAAAAAATGCCTGTTTAAAATATAGAAACACTTCTTTTTTTAACGAAATTCCATATCATCGATCCATAAAATTGTTAAAAAAAACAATGACATAAGATACACTCGGTATATTTTTTGTATAGGTAGGTACCTAGTAAAAAATTATACAATAATATAAAGTCGTTAATATGTAATGATATAATTATTTTGAAGTTAAAGTTGACTGAACTGTCTAAACTCATATCCAAGTTGCAATATTCAATTAATAAATAAAAATAATTATTATTTACAAGATTTTGATCGTTTGCACTTTGGTAATATACTAATATCACATTAGCCACTGAATAATGTTTTTTTTCTATGAATTTATAAGTAACTTGAGTCTAGTCACGCATCGTGATATGCATGCAGAATAATTTATATTGTATTTATTTAGGTTTCGCAATAAAATGCTGTTTTTAAATATTGTAGAACAATGTTTGGTTTTAAAACTAATTTTTTAATTTTGCTTCGACAATAATCTATAAAACGATTTACATTGGTCGTAACTAGGTACATTTATAGGTACCTAGTCATTTATATTTTTGGTAGGTACATATCATCTTCGCCAACCAACAGGCACACGTAGTTAAAGTATCGAAAAATTGTTTGACACTTGTAATCGTTACATAAATTACATACTAAAGACCAATATAATTGACCAATAGATCAATAATTATGCTTACACTGCACTCTACACTTTTTATTTTTCCACAATGCATTTTCTTAGTCTGATCTGGCCATTGGTCTACCTAGTGGATGTCTTTTATTTATTTTGCTGTAAAAGCCCTCTAGCTTTTTTGATTTGACGTACTTTTTGCACTGATTGCAAAAACGTCTTCGATTTGACCAAAATTCAGTGAACTGGTGCAGTATTTTGTATTCGATTTTATTTGACTACCAACACTCGTGCACTCGATTTTGTCGGTGCAATGGGTGCATTTCATAAATATGAACAGTATTTCTCTATAACGGGACGCATAATCATCTAATTTCCTATTTATCATATTATTATCATTATAACTATATTTATTATTTATATCTGATAATAATGTTTTTTTTCTTATTCGATTTATAGAAAAGTAGTGCAACAGTCGCGTAGTGCTAGTAGTATTTCAGTGCACACTTTTTTGTCAAATCGAAAACGATATAAGATATCCTTGTTCGTTCTCCACACGTGGTCCAACCATTCCAATCTTTTATATCTTACATTTGTGTGAATATTGAATTTTATTGAAATTCCTTATTTATTACTTTTACAGGTTCATCCAAGGCCCCCACAGGCAGCGCGAAATTGTGGAGGCTTTGAAGCATATTGTATATTTTAAAAAATTTTACCACCGCACCCTTCATTGAACCAAATTAGCAGTAGGGATCATTAATAATTATTAATTATAATATTTGCCATGATATTTGTGTTGAGGTCTTACGATTATATATATATATTTATTATTTATACACCCACCCACTCATTTCAGACAATCCTATATCCCGCCGCCACTGCCCACAGGCTGTTGGACCTGAAATACAGAGGCCCGTTGAAATTTATTTATAATTTTTGAAATTTTGATAGGAATACATATTTAAGTATTTTATAGTAATTTTGTTACCTATTTTAAGCTGTGGATTAACCATTTATTACGTATAAATCGTGTATGGGACACCCATATCGCTTACAAATTTGTTATATTTTTTGGAACTTTTAAATAGGACCTGGAAAAACATTTAGTACTTGCCATAGTTTGATATGGAGGGCCACCTGGATTCATCCGCACTGTTCGTACTTATTTAGGTATCACACTAATAGCGACAGGTGGAGTGAACTGCGAAACGTGATGTTCGCTAAGACTAGAGATTACTAGGACTTTGAAGTCACAGAAACTGGATAACGTATATATTTGATTGTATCTAATATCTATAGGTTCACCCGCACTGTTCGTACTTATTTTGGTATCGCATCAAAAGCTTAGACTTACCCATAAGTTATAAGTAGGGTAAGCCCCCATCGACCTTCGTCACGTTGATGTACAAGTTTAACCACTATTTATTTATTTTTTCCTCCGGTAGTCGGTACTTTAGTACTTACTGCTATATGAGAATTTTCAGTTGATGCATCGAGAGCTGTGTATAGTGTTCGTTGGACTATTTGGAACACAGATCGATTGTTTTCAGAATTAAATTGTTTTAAAAACAGCAGTATACTTTTATTTTTTGACCATCAGATTTTTCTCGCCTAAATTGAGGTGTAATCAAACTAAATATTTTTTTAGATTCTGAGAGGAACGATGAATGTATTGATTTTACAATGATGTGTGTTTTTTTTATTTTTTATTTTTTATTTTTTTTTTTTGTGTCTGTGTACACGATAAGTAGTCGAAATAATGCTTCGATTTTCAACTTCAATATCTTGTTTGATTGGAAAGTGAATATCGTTGGGGAGGTCTAAATTTAAAATTCCCAGTAATTTTCAAAAGCGCAGTGAAAAACAAATGAAAAATTAAGGAAAAACGGGAATTTTTACTCAAAATCGATTTTTAACAAAATCGATTTTGGCTTTTGGTGTAACTCTTAAACAAATGACCGTAGATACATGACATTTTTACTGACTGTTTATATTAGCATTTTCTGTACACCATGCCTTTTTTTTTAAATAATTTGACTTATTTTGAGCTGCTTAGGGACATTTTTATTTTCCTTTTTTTTTTAGTTTTTTTTTCTAAAAATATCAATAACATTTTATTTGTTGGTTAATAAAGCTTGGACATTTAATAGAAGGCTCCTAGTATATTGTTTCAAAGGCAGATGAAAAATATTAAAAATCCTTAGTCACAATTTTTTTTTACAAGCATCATTTAAATTTCAAAAATTGACAAAATATGGAAAAATCACGAAAATTAGAAATTATTTTGAGTTAAGAATTCGTAAAAAATTTTCTTTTGAAATCTAATATTTTAAAATGTAATTGAAGAATCCTTATAAGATTATCTACCTTTATCAACAAAAAAAATGTCAATAAGAAAGTCAAATTAAATTTTTATAAGCGTTTGAAATTCAAATTTTTACAACATAGGATATTCACTCGATTTCTCATGTAGCGATTTCTTTATTTTGTTGCAATTCAAAAACAAATGACTGTAGATACATTAAAATTTCACTGAATATTTATATTAGTATTTCCTATACACCTTACAATTTTGAAAATTTTTTGACTCTATTTGAACTGTTTACGGACATTTTCAGTTTTAAATTTTTTTTAGATTTTTTTTCTTTAAATATCAATTTAGTTTTATCTGTTGGGCTAAAAAGTGTAAAAATTTAATAC